AGACCGCCGGGAGATTCGCTGCCGTTTGCAGCCGACAGGTTCGCTGCCGAAGGAATCTTACTCAATCGGCGGTTAGGCGACTGACAGCGCTCGCGGAGACCGCGGCTGAGGTCAGGGTTCGAGGCCATGTTGGGCAGCGAGGGCAGCGTCTTGTTCTGGTTCAAACCAGTTGCCGATCCTTGAGGCTTGACTCGAGTAATGGGAGCAGTCTTTTGAGACATCAAGACCGGACGGTTCTTGGACGTGAAAGGGTTGTGTTTCGACTTGATGTTGCGTGTTGGGGAGGGAACAATGTCCTCGTCGTCGGAGTCGATGCTGATGGTGTCACGAGGGACGTCCCACATCGGGTCGCCAGAAGAAGCGGCGTTGCCAGAGAATAGGTTTCCGCTGTTAAGCTTGGGCACCTGAGTTCCAGCATGTCGTCTAGGTGATAATGAAAGTGAAGCAATAGCGATAGGTGAGGGGGATGCCATCTCGATATCCATAGGGGTGCCTTGACCGCCGACGAACATGGTTTGGGCTCTGCTGTAGGGGGTGCGAGTAGCCTTCCTGCTCGTGAAAGGACTGTCTGAAGAGATATCGGTGAGATCGGTACACGATGAGAGCTCGTCGTCTCCGCTACCGTTACCAACGGAAGATCTCGGGTAGTCTGACTTTGTTTGCGACGTTGCGAGGTCCAACGCGTGCATGGGCTCGGCAGCCAAGCTAATCGTCTTCTTCTGCAATTCGGCTTCGACACGAGACTGAACCTCGCTCTCGAATCGCTTTCGGAGGGCCTCAATTTCTGAGTTGATTTGCCGATCGATTTCGAGACGCGCCTTAACCTCCCACTCTCTTCGCAGCGAGCTGTCGACCTCTTGTCTGACGGAGGCCTTGTCAGCCTCGAAGGCGGCTGTTCTCTCTTTCAATTCCTTCTCGCGGCGAGCCAATGAATCCTCCTTCTTTTGAACAACCTTGTTAAGCTCAACAACTTCTCTCTCCTTTCTCATCAATCGCACAACAGGGAGATTGAGTAGTTGCGCAGTATCCGGGCGGTGGTCGGGGTTGACTCTCAAGCAGTCCTTGATAGTGCCCATAAGCTCGCTGGAATAGCAGCTGGGAAGAGGCGAGACTTTGCCCTCCTTGATCTTCTGAACAAGCTGGAAATGCGATTTGGCGTTGAATGGGGGCTCGCGCGTGCAGAGCTCGTAGATGATGCAACCCAAAGACCAGATGTCCGACTTGAGTGTGTACTTCTCAGCGGCGCAGATTTCGGGCGACATGTAAAATGGTGTGCCGACATAGGTGGAGGCGAAGTCATGGGACTGAATCATCTTGGACAGGCCAAAATCACCAAGCTTGACGGAGTTGTCCTCTCCAAGGAATACTGTTCTCAATTAGCACATGTCACATCGATTGATAGGGCGATGAAACATACCATTCTCCGGCTTGAGATCGCGATGCAGAATGGTCATGGTTCCCGGGGGCGTCTTAGGCTTGGAAGCTGTGCTGAAGAGGCCCAGCACATTGCTGCCAACCTCGGGAGGGTCGATGCCATAATGGCATCTGTAGAGCGCAGTAACCAGCTGCGAGAAAATGCTCCACACGAATGACTCCTGTGCGCGCTGACCCTTGACAGCCAAATCTCTGATAACGCGACCGAGATCGCCATTACCACAGTACTCCATGTAGAGGTGAAGGTCTTGGGTTGATTTGAGGTGTTCGCGATGGTAGTAGCCAACGATATTTTGATGGCGGAGGGTTGAGAGGATGTGGAATTCGGCGTGGAGCTGCTCTCGCTCCTTTTGCGACATCTTGAGGTAGCTGATTTCCTTCCGACACATGACGAGGTTATCGGCCTTTCTTCGAACCTTTCGGATGATTCCAAAGGAACCATGGCCTGTTGGATTGTTTGATTAGTGAAGAGCTCTTTGGTCGGTTGCAACGTGAAAAGCTCGTGAATGGTAGTGCCTACCGATTTTCTCCAGCACCTCATACTTATCCGCCTCCAAAGACATCTTGGATGCAACACGCAATGAATTTGATTAAAGTGAATCTTTGTATGTATCCATAGAAGTTGAGAGGCAAAGAAAAGCGACGGTCGCGAACCTGCTATGTTAGTATCCGAGCTGTTGGTGGTGGTTGACCGGGAAAGGTGCACTGCAAGTCAAAGCTGTGAACTTGGTTGCATGGGACTAACAAGATCGAGCTCGGGTAAACAACTGGGAGCCGATGCCATGGCAACGACGCTAGTGACGGAGCTGAGATAATCCAGCTCCATCTCTCGAAGTGGGTCAATTTCGCGTATCTCTTATCGATAAGTTAGAACTTTAGCTCTGGAGGGGTTCAATGGTGGGGCACTGATGATGTACTGGAAGCCATCACGTAAGGAAGGTCCAAAGTGGCCCGTGCAGAGGCGACCTCATGGAGTTATCGGACTTCATTCTCACTGAGATCTTCAATGTCCCAGATGTGGAGGCGAACTTGAACTTGTCTCTTATTTGATGCATTTCTTTCATATAACCATTTGCTTAGACTTTTCAGGCTATAGAGATCCGTCCTGTTCGTTGAGTTCGTCATCATGGTTCTCCGAAAAGATGAATTAGAAGTACAGCTTAAAGAAGAGCATGAGTTGATCGCAAATGGCGTGCTTAGAGAGGACAACCCCTTGGATCAGACGGCCGAATTTGAGGCTTTCCTGCTGGCTTGCAGAAGAGGCGACCTGAAGACGTGTCAGGAGCTGATCTCGGCTGGCGTAAATATCAATGGCAAAGATCGTTTTGATTACACACCCTTGATTGTTGTGAGTACGCAGTCCCCGTACCTTTGGCTGAGGTCTCACTGACAATAAGCATCAAGGCCAGTTTATGTGGGCATCTAGAACTCGTACAGCTACTTCTTGAGTCCGGTGGGTTATACATATTGACGTACAGTGAGACGTATTAACTGATCAACTTAAAAGGTGCACTGGCCGAAAGGAACACGTTTCAGGGCGAACGATGCATTTACAACGCCCTCAATGATAGGATACGAAATCTCCTGCTAGAATATGATTATTCCAAGTCTACAGACCCGCTCCAACCTTGGGCCGGACACATTACCAGCCTACTTTCCAAGAACGTTCCAAGGACAACCGACATCAGCCTCATTGCAGCAGCGCAGTCCTTCAACATGCACAAGTTCCTCCTAGCAGCACGGACTCCGTACTTCAGGAAGAAGCTCGATGGCGCACCCGATACCGCAACATGGAAGCTCCCGACCACCTACCCGCTCGAGTCTTTCCAAGTCGCCCTACGCTATCTGTACCTAGGAGAAGTACCCAAGGATGTGGTCAATGCTCGCAGTACCGTGACGGAAGAAGAGGTTCTCACTGGTGTTGATAAGCTCAGCAAACAGCTCGAGATCGAGCAACTATGGGAGGCAATCCTGGCGGGCAACGACCGGCGACTGTCGCGCCAGAGGTACGAGGACGAGGTGAAGCGCGCGCAGGCCCAGGTTGATCGTTTCTACCGGGAGAAGGTCCTGGGCCACAAAATGATCGTGGAGACGAAGAGGGTCGGCGAAGTGAAATGGCGTCACGACAACTCCATCTTTGCCGATTGCCTCCTTTGCGCACACGAGCCGGAAAGCGACGAGATTGAGAATGATGCGGAGGATCCTGACAATGTAGTCCATGCTGTCGGCATTCCGCTCGGCCTTGCACCCAACGGCGATAAACCCAGGAAACGGCCTCGAAAGTCGGTGGTCTACCCCGTTCATAAGGCGATGCTCATCCGCAGCCCGTACTTCGAGACCATGTTCTCCAGCGAGTTCAGGGAGGCACAGGACTCGGAGAACCTACACGTCGTCACAGTGGACTGTATGCCCGAGGTCCTCGAAATTGTGCTTACGTTCTTGTACACTGAGAAGGTGGACTGCCCTCTGGATTTCGCGTTGGATTTGCTCTACACGGCCGACATTCTCTTCCTCGACAAGCTCAAGACGAAAGCAGCGCAAGCCATTAGTACCCTCGGAAGCGGCAGTAGCAACATCTGGGCTGATCGCACCCACAGACCCGATGGAGAGGATCACCGGGAAGAGGATATGGAGCCTATTAATATCTACGACGTTATCCACGCGGCGTGGGACCTGCGTGTCCAGCGCCTGGAAGAGTTTGCTGCTCGGTACTTGGCCAACCGCTTAGAGGACTACATTGATGAGGCCGAGTTTGCGGACCTGATCAAGGAAAGTGCAGAGAGACTCAAGAACCGTGAAGAGACAGACACCATTGAGTTGTTGGATGATATCCGATATTATCTGGGCGAGCGCTTCCGTTTGCGTTTTGAGGACGCTAATCTTGAGGAGATGATGGATGAAGAGGGAGAGATCAACGCTGAATTGGCAGAAGCCATCGCTGCACAGAGCGAACAGTTGAATGAGGTGATGGGTGAAAATGGTGCTACCCCACAGGAAACCGCCCCTGTTACTTCTGCTGTTGAGCCTGTTGAGAATGGCGAGGATGGAGAGGGAGTCAAGACTCTTGGTGGAGAGGTGGCCGAAGACGAGTTCGCTTCAGATGCGATCAATTACCAGATCTTACTTGGAAAGATCGATACAATGCTGGATCATCTGAAGCTAGATGCATAGATGACTTGGCGCGCTTGGATACCGAGATACAGGCAAATTAAATGCCCATATTCTGTCACAAATATTAAAAGTGCTGACATGTCCAAAATGTTGAATCTATACTGTGAGACTTCAGTGAGGGCGCCGTAAATGTCTTTCCCTGCCCATGATCCATGACCTAGGTGAGCACCTTGAACGCCCAAGACGTGATGTTCTCCAATCGGCACGCGTCATGCCTGATCAAGTGACACAGCTTATTAGTTAACTTACCTACTGGTGAAAAGGATATCACGTCTGGATTTGCGAGCAGCTCATTCCGTGTGATGGTAAACTCCCTGACACGGATGGAAGCAGCCTGCATCTTTCACAAAGGTGATGCCCATTCTTACGAAAATGGTCATTGAATGTTTGAAAATTCATGTTTGAGCTGGACTAGAGCTTTCTGGATGGCTTCGATCCCCAACAGTCTCTTTCTGCCCAGCAATACCATCTCGATTCGCCCTCCACACGCCCTCTTCGCCATGGAACTCCTCCCGCTTCCATACCTCGACCTTGGCCTTGCACTCCTCCAACGCCTCCTCACCAGCCCTCCACGCAGCCTGTCTATGCGGTGACGACACCGCAATCAAGATGCTCTCCTCGCCGATGGGGACTGTTCCCAAGCGGTGAATCATGGCGAAGCCTTTCAAGCTGTGCTTCTCGACGATGGCCTTGGCGATGAACATCATGGTGCGGAGGGCAAGCGGCGTGTAGGCGCTGTACTGCAGCTCTTTGACGGGTTTGTCGCCGAATGTGTCGCGTGTCGTGCCAGAGAAGAGGACGATGGCGCCGGCTTGTGGTGAGCGGACTCGGTTCATGATGGCTGAAGCGTCGAGGAGATGGTAGGTAAGGGCAACGTAGCAGGAGTCCTCGGAGACCTCCCACGGTCCTTGATCTTGGTTCTCCATGCCTATGGGATTTGCGAACAATAGAGGTGGAAAGATGTGTCTGCTCCTTCGAGTCGTGGTTGATGGCAGAAAGAAATGGTGGGGTTGAGGCCGTGTAAGTATCCAAGATGACGATGGGCTTTTTGAAGTTGAAGGATTTTGGTCAACGCCGCTCAACTCTCTGTTGGAGATCTAATGCAACAAACTTGAAATGATCAATAATTCTCTCTCAGTTGCCAACGATATGCTGATTACTTAAGAACCTTGGGTTGAAATTACCTCAAAAGATGACAATGATGAACGTGGGGAGGACGAAGTTGATGAGTACCCAGGTACAAGGTACAAGGATGGAGGAGCGCGGACCAGGTCCATACCAACCTTATCGACGACCCCGCTTGACTAAGCAAAAGATAAGGTGCAATCCCATGAAACCTACCTAGGCAGCCGCAAGTCGACTTCGAATGGAAGTTGCCAGGGGGGGTGAGCTTCTGCCGGCCCGAGCTTTGTTTGAACCATCCCTTCTTCATTCCCGACTTCGCCCAAGCCCATTACTGAGGCCCGTCGCCCTCTGTGTTCCACCAATACCTGGTTGAAGCATAAAGGCACGGTCTTGTCGTACGCCTCACGAGGGGACAGCACCGCGCCTTACTCCTTCCTTCCCTCCTCTTCTTCTTTCCGGACCAAGCAAAACTCGACCCAAATCACGCCCGAAGCAGCGCGCATAAAGATCGGACACACCCCTTCCTGCGATCCGCGATCATGTACGAGGACAACCATCGCGCGCGCGAGAGGGGACCGTACGAGCGACGAAGATCCCCTCTACGAGATCAACAACAGTATTCAGACAACGACGGCTTTCGAACGCGGCAGGGTAAAGAGACTAAGCTGAGCCTGCGGAGGACATGACCATCTGCAGTACATCTGGCTGGTTTGAGCTTCTGCTAACTTGCCCACGGGACGACGAGACTCTTCTAGGTCTCCCCCCAGGAATAACCTCGAGCTGTCCTACGACGACGACAGCTACGCCCCGGAGGATACCCGCCGTCGCGAGCGCGACTGGGATCGGGACCGGAATTGGGATCGTGAGACTGCAGAATACCGCGCAAGAGACCACGACCGTTACTACCATGGACCGCCGCGTGAGGCCCACGAGCCACGTCCTCGATCGGGAGATCAAGGCGGTGGTCGGGATGACTATATGGATCGCCGTGATGAAGACGCTGCGCTACTTCACCCACATGACGGCGACGACCGCGGATCACGTCGTTACGATCGAGATGGCCGGGGCTACTCTCGCCCTCACTACGACGATAGCACTCGCCGCGATGATGCCCGACGTGGTACTGACGAGGATCTTCGTCATTTTTCCGCCTCTCCAGGTGGCAGCCCAGATCGCCATCCTCGTCGCGATCGTTCTACATCGCCTCTTCGACAAGCTGGTACTCCGAGTGATACTGTAATCCTGGAAGGTTTACCATCCGATGTATCTCTCGAGACGGTGCGGGATTGTCTCTTTAAACAGTCCGATCTATCACAATATCCATCTGTCGATCTTCGCATCCCCTCAACTGGGCGAGGCAAGCCACCTATCCCCCAACCCTCTCACCTGCACTTGCTTACATCTCCGCCAGGCAAGCGTCGCGCTTTCGCGCAGTTCGAGAATGTCGGGCAGGCGGACGAGTTTGTTAAAGCAAACTACCCTAAGCTTGTTATCAATTTCTTTAGCGGGGAGGTTGATGATAGCACGGATGGCATGACCCTGATTTACATCCATTACGCAAGGAACCGCGATGACACTGAGCGGGAAAGTCGCGCTGGAACTGCCGCTAATTGGAGCTGTCCGACCTGTGACTTTTCAAACTATGCGACCAGAAGCCGTTGCAAGAACTGCGGCGGTCCGCCCACAGGTATGCACATTCAACGATCCTTCTTACGGAAGTGCGAGACCCGTACTGACTCGGCCAGATCCGTCCCAATACCGATTTCTATTGACTGGCGAGAGCGATGCATCCGATACACCTTCTCAGATCTTGGTTTTCTTCCCTTTGGCGCCATCCGTCAACGAGGACGTGTTCTCGGCGGGAGCTGGAAAACTAGAGCTCGTGCAAAAGCAAGCAGCAGCAAGGAACTCCGGCGACGGGCCAAAGCTCAAGTCCACTGCCCCGACAGGCGATGCATCTGGCTACGGCGCAAGGCCGGGCTCTCTCCACCGCACATTCTTGATGCGTGATCAAGAGACGAACGAGTCATTCAACTTTGGATTCGCCGAGTTCTGGACAGTGGAAGATGCGATGGCGGCCATGAAGAAGTTTCAGATGATGCGCGAATTCACGATTGCCACGAAGCCTGTGACAGTTTCGACCATCCATCTGGGCGTCTTCGTGCCAGAACTCAGGGAAGTGACGCGATTTAACGAGCGTGTCTCGTTCAACCCGCTCTTCAACCCGGCTATTCGGGTCAAGTACTGGGAGCCCCACGTCTATCCCAGCCAGAGAGTGATCACCGAGGTTCCCCCTGGCGGCACCTCTGGAGACGGAGGCAAAGGGGATGCTGCCGACGAGGCGAAGAAGGGCAAGAAACGCAAGGCGGACGGGAATCTGCCCGCCTCTTCCACCAAGAAGTCGGTACCGATGGCTGGACAAATGGCGTTTTGGCAGAAACGGCATGTCGAAATACACGAGGGCAAGCGAGCCGCCGATGCAGTTGGTGAAAATGGTCAATCGGAAGAGCGCGCCCCTGTGAGGATCTCTCTATCTGGCGCGAACGCAATTTCTACCGGCCCTATCAAGATTTCTTTGACTGGGGCAAGCCTTCCGAAAGCCCCTGCTCCGACCGCATCGCCGAATGGGGCCCCTACTATTGAGAACTCTCAGACACCCGCGCCTCAGACGGGAACTGCGGCTCCAGACAAGACATCTACGCCGGAAGCATCAGTATCATACGTGGACCGCGAAAAGATCTGCTGTTTGATCTGCATGATGAAGTATAAATCTCTGGATGATCTCAGTACGCATGAAAAGTCAAGAAATCACAAGAACGCTACTGCAGATGAGGAGAAGGTCAAGGCGGCTAAGCCGCGACTAGCTGCCCGCGACAAGAGGATGGCAAAGCAAGCAGAAGAGCAGCCGGCGGCACCAGCGGCGGACGAGGAATCAGCACCGCAGTACCGTGACCGCGCCAAGGAGCGAAGAGAGGTGTTTAACCAACCCGCGAAACCAAAGGTGCCCGTCCAAGGCGGTAATAAACCAGCGCGCAAAGACGATAAGACCGCCAATCCCCCGGCGGCGGCATCTAAGGAAAAGACACCTCCGCCGGCGCCTCCGAAATCCAAGGGCGCGGGGATGCTGGCCAAGATGGGCTGGAGCACGGGACAGGGCTTGGGCGCCAACGGCGACGGCCGCACCGAGGTGATTGCTACGCACGCGTACCAGGAGGGTGTCGGCCTCGGCGCCGAGGGCGGGAACCTGGGCGACGCGGCGGAGCTCGCGCAGCGCAAGACGACGAACAGTTATGCCGAGTATGTGAATACGGTGCAGGATCGGGCTAGGGAGCGGTATAACAAGCTGGGTTGAGGTGCTTTTTGGGTGATAACGGACAATGCAGGTACTGCTTGTGGTGTTTACTACCGCGAGGAAGTAGAGATGGGAGGAGCAAGGCTGTCATAGAGTAGCTACTAGCACAACACGTGCAGTGCAAGAAACTTCTAGATGGCACACAAGAATACAACAATGCTTCACTACAACTAAACATTTCACATCACTAGACTTTTTTTGAGCTTTGAAATCTGGTACATTGTAAACGGTGTATGTGCAAAAGAAAGGCACCCCAAAAAAAAGTAGCCAGTCTCCGTCAAATGCTAGGTTACTACTTTCAGTAATCCACAATCTTGAGCCGGGACTGCACGTCCTCGGGCAGCTCCTCCTTCTTCACGATCCCCATGAGCACACAATCGCCCAGGAAGAAGAACGCTCGCTCCTGCGCGTAGCCCAGGTAATCGTACTCGTCGCCCTCGTCCTCGGCCTCCGCGGCAGCCTGCACCTCGGCCTTGGCGTCCGCGTCGCCCGCGGCCGCGGCGGCCTCGTTCTGCGCCTGCTTCTCCTGCTGCTCGATTTCCTCCTGGGACTCGAACCCGGGGACTTTGGCCTGGATGACGCCCCACGCTACCCACTGCGCGCTGTTGATGCCGCGCCAGAGGCGGGTTTCCTCGTAGAGCTCCTTGATCTCGGCCTCGACGGCCTCCTCTGCGCGGCGCTCTTCTTCTTTCCAGTGGTTGGGCGGGACGCGGGCGTCGAGCATGAACTCGACGATGGAGGAGGAGGAGCTGGTGGGGAGGAGGGCGGGGGTGCCGACGGCGCTGCTGCCGTCTGCGGCGCCGGCGGGGGCGAGGCGGGGGGTGGAGGCGCCGCCGTGGGTGTATTGGGGGCGGTGCTCGACGTAGGCTTTGAGGAAGCGGCGCTGTTCCTGGATGGTTGGGTAGACTGCCGTGTTGCAGAGGAAGGGGAGGGATTCGTGGTGGTAGTTGTAGGACCATTCTGTGAAGTGGTTTGCGAACTCGAGGCCTGGGACGTTGGCGGCGGCGTACTCGAAGTCGATTACGACGAGCTGCTTGTGCTCGTTTGCTGGCTTCAGGAGGGGGGACTTTTCGTCGTCGGGGCGCATGCGGAGGATGTTGCCGTATTGGGTCTGGGTGAGCGTGTTAGCTGGTGACTGACTTTGACATTTGGGGGGAGAAGATAGGGGTAAGTGCACTCACGTCGTTGTGGGCGAAGACGAGACGCTCGCGGATGGCGTGGCCCTTGTAGGCGCTGAGAGCCAACTCGCGATACTTGTCGTAAAGCTCCTTAAACTGCTTCCACTCCACACCACACACGTACCCGCGATCGCGGAAGACGCAGTTGCCATTGCGTACGCCTTCGTCGAGGGCGCAAATCTTCTTCTCGACGTTGCCGAGCCAGGCATCCCAATTCTTGAGCACGGCAGGTCCCTCATCCTTTTCCCTATCCAAGACGTCGATGCCAAAG